TTTCAACCCCCCAACCTGGAGGACCAGGAGACTGAGTTTGTCTGACCTCTCACCGTTGACCAACCTGGTAGGAGTAGCTCTCGAGATGCTCGGAGACATCACCCAGTATAGCTCAATGGGTCAATGAGACACGCAAACCGTCGCAACACGTTAAGGTCCAGTCTCGTTGCGACGGAAATCACCCCCCAAAAGCTAACAGAACAGTATAGCCACTTGGAGTGCCATAGAAAATTCTTTTAATTTCATGAGGGCCGCCGGTGGAACGCTCTCCCCCAACCGGTTGTTACTGCAGCTACACTAGGAATATTTAAAAGTCGGTTGGACAACACACTCATCCACTTGCATTTCGTTACTTAGCATTTTCTCTCTGTCCTACTACCCGGAAAAGCCCCGGATTTATGTTTGTGGTTTATTTGAGCTATGAAACTAAGCGGAGGGCGGGGTTAATGCATTGAAAGCGATAAGTCAATTCTTGTGACAGTGAAAGTACTAACTGCATTTTTTAATTAACATTGTTAGAACTCACCAGACCACCGAACTGACTTGTAAGATGCGCTTCTTGACCCGCACAAAGTATTGTTCATTTTTCATTGAATGTTTACAGTCTTATGAACAAGCGCAATGAGTTATGCCGCTTCGTTGCTTTTGAGCGACCAGACGCAGTTGGTCTCGGAGAGACGTGTCTGAACAAGTAGGTGCTCACCAGAAAGTTTAGCTTAGTGGTTAACTGTGCTTTCGCTGTGATAGACTATCGACTTCTCACGGTGCTATCTTGTTCAACATCTGTTCTTCCCTTGTGGGAGACTTGTGAGTGCCCAGCGAAGCCAAGATGGCCTGTGTGGGTAGTTGTGGTGCTCGATTCATCTCAGACGCGGAGAGCTACTTGTGAGTTCACACTATCGCAGCCCCCAGAGCAGTTGTTTGCAGTCGCTGTCGCATCTCCCAGACCAAATCAATCGCCATCATTTTATACTCATGGGAGATTTTCCTTGTCCATGAATACATTAACCTGAAGTTTAACTTATCACAGGGTATCCTGAGGCCGAAGCGAAGTTTGCTGATGTGGCACTTGAAACCGGGGCCGCACAACACATCTGCCAACCGACGCATATGACACCGCACTGAACACTATCGTGCTTAGATTTGAGGTTAACCAGCTATAAACAGCATGTGTATGCCGTTCTGATCCTGCGGATTCTAGCAGCAAGCCATCACTTAATTCTTATTGCCAACATAGAGCTACCATTGCAGTAACCTCACGCACTGCGGCCAGATTGCAGCTACTGAAAGACGAATTCTGACGGCCTGACACGAGCCATAAGCCAAGTACATTGGTCTCCGGCGCAATCCGCATATATTGAAGCTTTTTGGTCAGATATTAAGAATGAAATAAATTCATGGTGTAACCAATTTGTGCCTCTCAAATATCGGAAAGTCGGACCGGTCAAGCCAAGTTGGTTCGGCAAGGAATATGGTAAGCTGGCTCGGCGGTTGTGTAGGCTGTAGGACAAATTCCTTATCTTTGGCTCGGTCGAGGACTATGAGGTGCATAAAAACAGCTGAATATCTGCAACAGAGTGAAAACAAGCAAGCGCAAGCTTTTGGAAGAGCAGCTTGCAACCGCAGCAAAAGCTGTTCCCAGGAGAAACTGTTCGTACTTGAAGCGGAGCCTGAAGCCGAAAGGTGACCTACCAGTGAAAGAAGACGCGGACAAACAGCCCTAACCTTCAGTATTGTGAGTGCGCCCGCCTTGATGACATCACTGAATTTCAACGGTCTTATCTGTCATTCAACATCTGCGCTTGAGGTCACGGGACGGCCAAGGGAGGAGGACGATCAATGGCCGATAAAGAAACTGGTAACTCTGGTTGGTTAAACTGTTCCTGAGTGTTTTCCCAAAACTCTCCAAGCTTCTGAAGAGCTGTGGATCGGCTGTACACACTCGTCCCCTATGGTCTCGCTAACAACATGTCTTCTGCAGTCCGCTTCGCGTATTAGACGGAATAACTTACGATGGTTATTAAAGTCAGCGGCTGTCTCCATCTCCGATGCATGATGAGACCACTAGGCTTCGCGGTCTCTCTTCAGGCTAGCCCATAGTTTCGCCCTGAGAGCTTTGTGACTTTCATTGTGTTCGCTCCCAGCCGGACTGTGTCGGTGAGTATATAAAAGTTCGACAAACCGCACAGAGACCAAAGGTGCAGATTGGCGGTTTGATTTATCACATGAAGACATGACTGCTACTAAAACCCCTGGCGAATGTGTTCATCAAGGTTTCTTCAGTGGGCGAGTATTCAGTCAGGATGGCAGCGCAGTTTGATACGCATTCAGAACATCTGGCTTCGGCTGGTTTCTGATGTCTACAGGCTCACAGCGTCGTTATGCACATCAGTCAAAACGCATCCTCAGGTCGGCCCAAACACATGCGTGGAAGCAATCCACGCTTGCGCTCCACATCGAGTGGCCGTTTTGAACACATCCTCTCCAGCGGTAACTGATGGCAATTTGGTCGAGTTGAGTCAACGGCCGGTCAGAGGCTGGTGGTCGCCATCACACTTCTGCAGGTACTGTGTCTGAAGTTAATGCTCGTGAGAAATAGCTGAGCATGTTTGCACAGGTGTTGCAATCGCTCACCGGTATCATTACGGGAGCTTACACCGCGTTGGCCTCACAGATGTAGCTCATCAGTGCACAGTTTTAAGTTATATGTCCAGGTCCCCAGTCAGGCACAGTATCCGTACATTTCCTGTAACGAATAAGCTCGTTCAGTGGATGATAGAGGTCATCATTCGCAGCATCAATGCTACAGTTTGTTGGGGCTGTTGCAGTAATGACAAACTGGCACCGTTTGTTCCCACGTAATTTTGACGCTTTGAACGAGCTGGCCAATCTGACGGCGCACATCCATTTGTCGACTACGATCCAATCGATCGAGGCAGCTTCAACACCGGGGCTCAAACTAATGCAAACACCGGCTTGACCGGCATTCGAATCTGAGTTAGCTCCGGACAAACGCAGTGCGAACGTGTTGCCGGTGACGTGTGTGAGGGATAGCAAGGTAAGCACAGAGCTCGAATCTCACAGGCAGGTTTCTGATAAACAAGAGACACCGAGCGACAGGGTCTCTAGTGATTGGGAAAATGCTACTGTCGGCCAATCTATAACAAATATCGTACGTGGAGGTATTTCAGTCCTAAACCAGATCGAGGGCTTCAAATAGAAATGGATAAACTGACATCATCTGCTTGGTTGAACGTGGACTTGTCGACTTGACCAGAGCGACACCCTGCGCTTGCTTATGACTTAAACCTAGAAGACAAGAGTCTACTAAAGCAACGTAAAGTAGGACGGAGTATTGGGGGTTGAAAACAAATGGGATGCATGAAAGCTGGAACGAGACTTGAGGAGGGATTAAGAAGACAGGAAGACCTGATCAGTAGTACACAATCCTTTATTCACACTGCTCAGTGCAGGTGATAGGGCGACGTTGATTATTCTCTTTGATGACTAGAATATCAATGGAAGTGTACGGAGAGAACTTCATTGTATGGCATAAGCAGTATATCGTCAGACTTCCACGCCTAGACAAGAGAACAAGTAGGGTTCTCAAGCAAAGCTTTTGGTTCAAAATGCTGGCAGCAAGCAGCCGGGACTGTGAAACTGGGCTACAAAGTGTCCGTTTTATGAAGTAAAAGTCAACGTCACTCCAACTCTGAAGCTGTAGAGACAAGAGAGTAAGTTGGTCTAGCGTCTAACCATTGATCAATCTGGTATGAGTGTCTCTGAAGGTGCGAGAAGCACCACCCAGCACAGCGCAATGGATGGCTGAGGCAGGCATTCCATCGCACCAAGTTAAGTCCAATCTCATCGCGATGATCATTCAGTTTAATGTCCTCCAATGCTTCTTTTGGTGCTTTTGGAGTATATGAAAGTCGTCAGATAAGCTGCTTGACAGAGAACTTACTCATGCGACCCCTTTTAGACTGTATATGCTCCTATGACTGCCAAAGTTTGAATTGACTACAAAGCATAGTACTCAGCACTCGTGGTGTAACGGGTCCACTTCCTCAACAAAAATAACTTGCAACACCTCCAGTTAGACAAACCTATTTGCTTTCAATCACTGCCACTGCTGATAAACAGCTCATCTGTGTGTAAACTTGTCAACCTGTATACGATTTTACATCATACGAGAATACAGATAGATCAGAAATCAGTTCAGGGTTAAGAATGCTTTTCGGTAAATCTCTTCAGACCCAAACGTTTACATAACACTGATTGTGTGGGGTAAGCGTCAAATCGGGCTGGGATTGATTTCTAAGGTGTTTAAACGGTCAAGATCGATGACTAAATGCGGTTGCAGATGGCAAAAAAGTGCACCAAAAGAAAGTGAATACACAAGCCTCAGCAACCTAAAGTAAATAGGAAAGGTTGCGAAGGGAATTAAGTAACCATGTCAGATAGACGTGGTCGCATCACGAGTGTTGAAATTGGTGCTGTCTTGATTAGTCTGTCAGACAGTGTGCTAGGACTGTGCTTATTTTGAGTCAGAAATGTAGTCCTTCCGAAGCAATGTTCAGTAAAAAGGCACTGGCTACGCTTGTTGTGATGAAAAATTTTTAGTGGCTCATCACGTAACACCACGCCAAACAGTGCCGCTTGGTTTAGAATCTCTGAATGAAACGGCACTCCATCAAATCATCGAAAAGCTCTCATGGTTTCTAGACTACTGTTGACTTTCTCATGAGATGTGTTCAACTGGGTATTTGTGCTCTTATCCTCTCTAAGTATAATTAACATCATGCATAAACATTGTGCGCCGATATCCCGATAGTTTAATGTCTTTCAGCAGGCCGTGTTCTCTACCTGTTGGTAAATATTGGAACTGAATTAGGAGCCAGCGGAAACAGGCTACCTATACTAAAGAATGGACTAGTATATTTATGTGGCATCATCATCAGGAAAGTACCAAACCTAGTTTTCCGTTGGGAAATGCGGCCTCAGCAACGCTCGATGTGTACCAACGGTTCAATGAATTGTTGACTTACTCGAATTATGTGATGCTTCTTCTCGAACCTAGGTAGTTGTGTGACCCTGCACCAGTAGGTAGTTTGGACAGCTGGTATTTGTACCTGAGGCAAAGACAAACGACAAAAGTGGACTGTAAATAACGATTGGATGCCAATTAATTATCCGCTTGTTTTCATTTTGTGGTTGTTTGCAAACAGTTCCAACTCGTTGTAGATGAGTTACATCGAATTGCAGAACGTTGTATACTTCATCAATAGTTGCCTTTTAATGCCTGACTAGTAGGATGTGGCTACTATCCATGTAAATGTTTACAAAATGTCAGCTCGTTATCTGCCGCCCGTCAAGCTATAGGTACGTAGTTGCGGCTATCCAAGCACCAGGAGCAATTGCTATGGCTATACCTGACGCGAACACAAAGGGTGCTACTTATGCCACAAACTCTATCAAATTTTCAAATCCTACACCCTCACGAAAATGTTACTTTTAGACAAGCCCACTAGTCGCTTACAATCGTATTGTCTAGAGCTCTGGAATCTAACGCCGACTCCATAAAAATAAACTGTGAGATTCCTTATGTCTACTAATAAGCGTCCAAGCTAAACCGTCTAACATAGTGCGCATCGCACGGCACCCAAACTTTAACCACTACGGAGAACCACGGCTGTTACGTGTGACGCTACAGACAATATTGAGGAGGTTCTTTTGTCAAGCCCGCTTTCGGACTGACTCACTCGACATTCGGTTTTTCCTGGACATCCCTTGGAGCGAGCGCCAACAAAGAAAACAGAGCCCTGATGAGTGCTGCCGTCAACACAACAAGAAGTCTATCTTTATTCATAGCGTACGGGAAGTTCAAACCTCTGATGAACCTTAAGCTCAAGCCCACGATTGGGAGGAATGGCGCTGCCGTCAACAGGTGCTCTCACGCAATAGTGTAATCGCTAAGTCGATCACAAGGCTACCTTCATTATCAAAGTACAAATGTTGTGGCCCCAAGATGATGAAAGTTGTAATCCAGTCCCAACACATGACAGAAAATGTACTTGAAATGTGGCGTATGTGACGTAAAAAGATTCTCTCAGATTGACGAATATAAGCGTTTAACTCCATACCGGAGCCTGACAGATACTCCAGACCACTGTGGAGCACAAACAACTGTTGAAGGGGCAGCGACTTTCCTTTTACTTGGTGAAACTGGAACCTCATCCCGTGACCATTCTACTAACCAACATGAAGCGTCTCAAAGCTAACTGTTAGCATTTTTACCACAAAACTTTAGTTGCCGACCTCACTAGGGTCCCCCAAAAGCTCAGATATTTCATTCGTACCCTCAGACACGCTTCTATCTTCCTAAGTACTCGCTTGTAGGTATGCCAATGCTCAAGGCCTTTTCAACAAATTATCCAAGCTTCAACCTCGTCAAGCCTTGACGTCTATGAACCTGATAATGATAACTTAGACGTGGCTTAATAATGAAATAACGGAGTTTGGGATCGAGCTACCTGGTATGTCCGTCCTACATAAAGATCGAGCTAGTATGGAGTGGCATAATTTTGTACTATTGCAGTGACCTTCGTTTCTAAGCTGTTGACGAGTAAATGATTCAAGTCGGTGACGCCTGCGACTAAAACGGGTTGATGTATGTTCAGTTGGCCTCGTAGAACGTTCTCTATTGTGGATTCTGGAAATAGACAAGCTTCTATCTGCTGCATTAAAAACCATTCTGACTCAATTAAACTCTCACGTTATCCTTGTAGGGGATTTCAACTTGCGTGCACTAGATGTTCCGGCTGCACTTGGTGAACAGTTTAAAGTCGAACTACAAGAATTTGTCACTGGCCTAGCAATTCATCATGACGTTATTTTCCTTACATGATTCAGAACAGGGAACAACCCGGCCATGTTGAACCTCTTACTTACCGATGAGAAACGTATGGTCGGCACAGTGAGGATGAGCAGCTCCCTTAGACGCTGTGTTCATGAAACACTGTTTTTCTCTACGTCTGTTACGCAGAACAGTCCAACGGGGACATCGAAAAGGTCAGCTTACCGATCCAACACATTTTATCTGACCTCATTAAGATCCCAGATTGGTCGTTTCTAGCGGAACATCGCCAGGTGTCGCTTGGGGAAAGTTCGTCAATCAGTTCAACAACTTAGTAGCAAATACATCTGAAACTAAGATCCCTAACTCAAGAAAGGTAAATGTCCTGAGGAGCAGGACGCAGGAATGAATGATCCTGAGCGATTCCCTTTGGAAAACGTAAAAGCTGCTCCAGACGCCTAACATTAGAATGCCTACATAATCAAGCGGAACAACTGTGCCAAACATTTTAGCATTGACAAAATGAAATTTAGCGAAGAAGTTCTGCTGCAATCCTAATCCACTGCACTACAGACAAGTAAAAAACTTCCCAAATGACAGCGAGGCATCCCGCTCCTAAACACGGATTGTGGGCAAGCGCGAACTGCAAAAGAAGCAACTAATGCGCTTAAACATCAGTTCGATTGTACTTTCCAGTACGCATCTACATCGCATATCATTCTAACACATGCCACGTCACCACCAGAACTTAGCCACCTCTCTTGCATAGCTGCCGTTGTGCTGAAACGATTGATGCCAGTACGTGAGTACGGTTCACCTGGTCCGGAGACCAAACGCCTTAAGTAATGGATGACAGGTACCACAAGCTTGGGCGGACCATTATCTCATTTGCTTAGTGCTCTGTCGGCGAGATGCAGGTTCCAACAATGTGGAAGTGTTGAAGAGTCAGCCTCATTTACAAGGGATTCAGAAGTGCAGTGCTTGCAAACTACCGCCAGGTTATTCTTCTTCCTGTGCTTCCTAGTCTCATGGAATCTGTCTTTGCAGATGTACCCGTGAATTAGTTAGAAAGCTTCCATATCATCATGCGAGAGCAGCATGAATTCTGCCAAAACCGCTTTATTGTTAGCCCGTGCCAGCTGGACGGAACCCATAGATGCTGGAGAGGAAGTCGACGCCGATTACCTTGATTTCTTGAATCACCGGATTATTGTTCATCAGTTTTTGAGCTACAGAATTCGTTACCCTATTCTGGACTGGATTCATTCATTCCTATTCCAACGACATTTTAATGTGCGGGTTCGTGACACTCTCTTCAATCCGATGGAGGTTCACTATGGCGTCCCTCAACATTGCGTATTAGGACCACGGTTGTTCCTCACGTTCCAAAGCGATCTAGCGGTAGTGTTGAAAGGGAACCATCAACTGCTTTCGGATGATCTTAAGATTTTGCATGAAATCAAACGAGTAGAGGACCATCTACCACTGCAAGCTGCTCTCGACAGAGCATACGAGTGGTCAGCATCAAACATGTTTAAATTTAACCCTGTCAAGTGCAAAAGAATGTCCATACGCCACTAGAGTACCTACCAGTATCGACTGGGAGGACACGTCCTGCAGTGCACTTCTCATGAAAGTGACCTCGAGGTGCTCACGCAGGACGATCTCGGATACTCAAAGCACGCTGAGGTGGTGGTGAAAATACCAGTCAGCAATTGGGCCTATTGCGGAGGTTGTTTAGCCGGATGCTCCTGCGTTCTTTTCGCAAACGCTCAACATTTACAAGATGCCACACAAGTTAAATACGCCAATCAACTGTGGCACCCCCTGGCAAAAGTAGGACCTCACCGCTCTTGAGAATTCGCAACTGTGGGCGACAAAAACGTGAAGAAACTGCTTCGCCTCCTAACTAGTTTGAACTACCGAATTTAGGCGTTTTCATTGAATAATGTTATGTGCGATGTGATCTCTTATTGGTGTATTAGGTCCCCAACGATCCCAACCGCCCATGCAGACCTTTATTGAAAGTAAACTACAACACTTCATTGAGAGTACACCATTTGAAACTGATGACACAATATAGCTGGTTGGAATGCCACTAGAACTTTTTTATCTTTCGTGTATCTCAGCCGTGGAACTTAGTTCCGCATTTTGTCATATCTGCTCCTACGTTGTTGATGCATTATGTAATTTAACCCAAGTTAAAGGGACATACGAAAAGGTAACAAAACGAAGTGTACACTTGCACTTTGGGATATGTCTACCACTGCGCGATTTTTTGATGCATATATTTGTTTTCTCACTACAACTACGGAAAACTGTTAAGTGTTTGCTTTTATAGCCGTGCTAAATCCACTCTTCCATCGTTTTATGGTACACACAGTTGGGGTCATTGGTGCCACAATTTCCTTTAGTATATGAAGAATAGGTTGTGCATTTTTATTGCCAGTACATTTCGCTTAGATTTGTGGTAGCATGAGACCGACTGGTATCCACCAAAACTGCGTTAAAGGCTTATAGTCTTCTAGTGTAAATTGCAACTGCGGTTTGGAGTATTTACATATAAATGGGCGGCTGTCATAAATCCAACTGCTGATGAGTAATCCTGTTGAAAACACACGTGCCCAAAAGCGATGTATTTGATATACTATACCATTCGGTATTGCATCTTTCTAGTTCACCATGTAATTGGTGCCTATTCGTCAGGTACTTATACACTCTTGTTGAAAGCAACCAGCTCCAAAGCTCGCTGCTTGCGCGACTGCATTGTTTAATCCGTTTGCTGTCATAACAGATAAACTGGGAAACACCATCCCTGTTTACCTCACATTTTAAGATGAGTTTTATTAACACAAGAACCAAATCAACCATATTCATGTCCACCGGGGAGTAACACATTCATGAAGCAACACTAATGCTCATTCTAAAAGGAATAGCAGTGGTCTAAAACCGAAGATACCTTCCGCGGTTTGATTGAAACGGGAAACCAATATGTGTTTTGTAAGCTTACATTTTGGACTGTTAGATCAAAGGTGTGTGCGTCACGTCGCTGGGTTTCACTACTCTTGCTTCCAGACATTATCAACTCTAGCTGCTCAGCACCCGCCATAGCTATCAGTTGATTAGGCGAGATCTGGTTCCGTCTCCCTAATCCTCGATTGTACCAGGTAGGCGCGAAAGATGAGCGTACCGAAATTCCAGTGGGGCTCTCCAGATGCCGGCGTACACTGCCAAGTGAAATCTAGAAAAGTAAGGTGGATTTGCGTTAAGAGTCACGTGCCACAAATGAGAATACTAAAGCATCATGGAAGGTCACCTTAGAAAATTGCCCCAGATTCAGTTACCCGCTCAGACGGACCGGTAACCATGTGAAGGCATGCAATAAGAAAAATGTAAGGATCCATATGAATACATCCATTTATTACAGTAGGAGGTTAACAAAAACTGAACATTGTTTACGACACAACTGAACGCTATTCTGTACCATTTTTATACACACAACCCATTATATACTGATGGGCACCAAAGGACATCTCTTTGTTACCTGCGGAGCATCGGTCCGGGACGGAGTTGACATCCCATATGAGGCTAATTGCCAGACCAGTTACCACAAAAGTTTGCTAGTACAGTTTCGGAGCTGTTTTCTCCCAAGACTGCACTCCACGACCGACAGGTTTCGTCCTGATTTGGACTCGTCAGGTAGAGATAGCTTGAGCTGTGAAGCGAGACCAACACAATGGTCAACGTCTTTCATTTTGGTCCCTAGGCCAGAGTTTCACAGCAGGGTTTGACACGGTGGTAAGAAGTTAAGTAGAGGGATTTTAAGCACAGTGTTGGAAGAACGCAGTTTTGAAACTCTTTACTTCGGGCGTGGTCCTAGTGACTGAAGGTGCACAGCTTTGTTTCAATGCAAACTGTAGCGTCATTCGAGATTGCGTGTCGCAATCCAGTCACGCGGCGGGTACTCCCATATCCACAAATTAACTTCTAACTGCTATCCCACGCGTTGCCGTGACGCACCCGCCTAGTGACCAGGACAGAATCCGTCAACCACTGCGTCGGGCTCCGCTCTCAGCTCAAGCTATCTCTACCTGACGAGTCCAAATCAGGACGAAACCGGTCGGTCGTGGAGTGCAGTGTTGGGAGAAAGCAGCTCCGAAACTCTCCACTTCGGATGCGGTCCCATTGATTTAAATAGCATAGGTTTGCTTCAATGCAAACTGTAGCCTCAAACAAGGTAGCATGTCGCACACACGGCGCTTACTCCGAGGTCCAACATATGTCTGATCGGGGTTACATTGCTTCAAAGTGGTTGCGTGCGTTTCTACAGAAACACTTATCCGAGACGATTGTGCTATGGTGCGTTTTTGAGCTTCCAGCTTGGATCCCAGTAAGTGTGGTCCAGCTGCTTTTTGCGGCTGCCGATTCTACAATAAACCTATTAAAATACCACTTGTGTGCAGTATTGTTAAGGAGTTATTGGATTGTTGTAGACAGATACTCGAGGCATGATACTAAGGTCCTTGGGGTTCACCAGAGACAGGTTTCAGCAGCATTAGTAGCCTCTATTCGGGGCATACGTATATAGAATAATTACATTATCTATTGATGCTATAAACCATTTGGTGATTTATGTTGAGCATCATTACGTGCTACCTGTAGGTACACCAACAGTCACTACAAAGTCGTAACGTTTGTAGCGACCTTTCACTAATATAAGTATTATGCCGCTCCTTCTTAACGACGGAGAAGCGACACCCTTGGGCTCTAAATGTGTATATCACCGATGATGGTGTTTATCTGACCGGGATTGTTGCACCGGTAGGGATACTTGTCCACTTGCTTTATAAATCAAAAACCGGGCACCCACCGTCAAATCTCAACCTAGTAACCGTAGCTGCAACTCGAAGAGCCAAAATATTTGACTGACTAGAAGCGTTAAGCCTACAGCTCAGTGAAAAGCTTAAACTCAGTGGCAGTAGGCCAAAATTGCTTGTTTTAACTCACCAAGTTTGAAGGGTCCGAATAGCAGGAGGAGTAGGCTGACATAACATTAGTAAAAAGCAAGACATAACAAGTACAGTAAGACGGTCTGTATGAAATATATAAGTAAAGCACGAAATCTTTTCTCAAGTTAAACTACTCCTCCGTGGAATCAATATAATATCCATATTAACATACGTTCAAATCTGTCTTCCCAGATTTAGTGGGCGGGGAGTAGTGAATACACTAGTCGTTTACGTTTCTACATCATCCGATAAGCGCCAGGCATGTTACGTACTGCAAATGACCTAATGTGTCGTCGTGTATTTGTTGAGGTTTCATAGTTTGGGCTCAGCAATGACATAATTTGGAAGAGCGTACTGCAGCTTACAAACACCGGGTGGAGGGAAGCTTAAGATGGCAATTTAAATGACTGTGTATTGCAGCCTAATTCAGCTGGTGGTTAGCCAATTTTTGCGCACCGGCGAAATTTAGGAGCATATCAAAATCAAAAAAGTTAGAAGGAGGCCACATAGTGGCTAATGTTAACGACCAACGTACACCCCAAATATATTCATGCGCCGTTAGTAGAGAGTAGAAAAGTTCTTTAAGAATACGGTTCTGGTTCGATGTGGGGTCACGAGTGGAACTGGTTAGTGAAAATGACAGATGTATGCTTTCGTATTGTCTCCTCAGAACCATTAACAATAGACGATATGCATCGATATAGCTAATCGTGGGTGCAGCCAGACAAACTTGAGGTACAGAACGAATGACGATAGTTCATACCTTCGTCTGAGGTAGCTTTAAGCTGACAAATAATTGTTTCTGAACACACAAGGCTAGATTCCTCCGGCTTATAGTGACAGCCTCATCAAACCGAAGGAAGCGGGAATTGGTATGATGTAGTATAACTTTAAACGCTGAGCCCAGCTACATCCGGTGACCCGAGTCTAATAGGTGTTTGCCTATCGAGGGAGCAGGCGGTGTGCGCGAACACGGAATCTGACGAGGGTAGGCAATCTGAGCAACTTCATGCTGAACCCATCTTAGTACATCTTCCTTTATTCGGGAAGTCAACCTTCTACTAGTTCTTCCTATGTAACTGTTTCCTCAGTCACATACAAATTGGTATACACAATGTGAGTTGGCCCCAATATGCTGACCTTCCTTCGTTGGAGGTATGGGCAAATTTCGGGTTCGGTTGATGACCAGAACTTGTGCAGCATAGTAACTTCCTTGTGTAGCCGAGATTATACAATTAATTGTCTTCAGCGTGGCTAAATCACCTTTGATAGGTAACTTGATAGACACCTGCTTCTTGGCTGCCGTGTGCACCAAGTCCTCTGGCCCTCGCGGTTGGCTGTTTCTCGATAAATCTTGAAGAGTAACCGTTCGCCATTAGTGTTGCTGTACTTAGCACTAGCTCATAGTTCAAAGAGTCGGCCGAACAAATTCGTCTGGCACGACTAACTAGAGTCGTCACAAGTGTCCGTTTGTACCGCACTGGTGTGAAGCTGGTGAGGTGCAGGTACTGTCCGTACAAAGTGGATTTTCGGTAAATGAACCTCTTAATCAACCTATCATCCCTGCGACTTATGAGTATGTCCAGATTTGGCAGACAATTGTTTTGTTCTATTTCACATGTAACCCGTAAGTTAGTATCAGCAACATTGAGACCTTCTGCCAAATGCATGAGCTACTGCCCCAAAGAAGAAATGGTGGGCTTACGTGTGGAGATATGGTTTCCATCAAAATGCATTTCGTGATTTGCTATCGTCGCCCAGTTTTCTCAGTGTTGTGTAGAAAGAAACTCAATCCCTCTGCCGCTATCCTCAGTCGTGTGGCGTCCGCTTACCTAGAGACGGCTCAAACCAGAATTGCGCAACTACTAGAAACTCATGCACGCTAACTGCCCGTGTTCGAGGATCTATCTGTGTTGCCTGATTGTTCTCACTAACTTTTGTAATTCAACTTGATCGTATGAGACGAAATCGCTCTGCTAGTTTAGAAAATTCGCTGACGAACAACCATGAGGGGGAACCAAGTGCTCGTGATCCCAGTAAATACATGATGAATTTATCGAAAGTACAACTTGATGCGTTGCAATTAGAGGCATTAGCACTTGGGTTTGATTACAAAGTCTCCCTAGCAATTTGAACAGCTTGTTTATAGAAGACCAATTTGAGAACGTTTGACCAGTTTAAGGAGCCCCAACCAACCAGCCCTGATAAGCTTATTTGGTTTAGTAATAAGTTAACCCATATCGCCCATGAGTGGAAAACCATGCCAGTTAAGGAAAAATGTGCCATCACAACTCGATATTTGCATGCCTTACGTGAACTACGAGCTAAGGACCTAGTTGTAATGAAACCATATAAAGGTTCAGCAGTGGTGATCAGGAACACAAGCGAATACAATAAGAAGACGTGCGGCATACTCAATGATGTGAGTAAATTCGAACGGCTCACGAAAGCGGGGGCCATAACCAATGTCGAAACGCGCATAGTTCGTCATCCGGAATTGCTTCTCCTCCACCGCGTGATGGACTGTGATACATTTAATAGTTTGAAGCCGTGTGGTAGCACTATTCCACAGTTGTATGCGTCCCCAACGACACATAAGAATGAAGTGCCACTCACACTAATCCTTTCAATGATGAACGCGTCCCAGCATAAACTCGCTCATTGCTTGGTGAAGTTGCTTTATCCGCTGAAACAACAGTTCATTCGGTACAGTCTTAAAGACTCGTTTCAACTCATTGATGATCTGGATGAACTCAACCTGTCAGACAAAATGATATATTCCTTGGATGTAGAATCCTTATTTACCAACTTCCTGCTACATCACACGGTGGATTATGTGTGCGCATTATCTGAACTTGATGGCTGTTCATTACCAATTCCGACTGAATTGCTCAGAGTATCTCTACTGTTGTGCACGGAGAACGTAGATTGTTACTTTCGGAATACACCATACCGTCAAATTGACGGCGTAGCAGTGCGTAGCCAATTAGGTCCTGTTCTCGACGATTTCTTTATGCTGATGGTAGAAAGAGTCATTTCTACGAAAATAGCCCAGGTGCCCTAAAACAAAATATATGTCGACGATATCTTGGCTTTCTATTCGTCGGAGCAGCAGCTCACACATTTGGTAGAACGGTTCAATGTTGCTGATACTAACTTACGGGTTACATGTGAAATAGAACAAAACAATTGTCTGCCAAATCTGGACATACTCATAAGTCGCAGGGATGAT